CCAGCCTTCAGTGTCACTTGATCCTTCAGAATTCTAATATTTGGATTTGCTGCTCAAGAAACATTTCATATTAACAGTGCTGAAAACAATAGTAAAGCTATTTTTTTGTTGTTAAAACTGTGATACGTTTTTCAGGATAAGGTTTTCATTTCTTTAAAAAACAATTATTTACTGACCCCTAATCTTTTGAACAGTAGTTTATATGCTCATATAATCTTTGTTTCTCACAAAGTCTACTATTTTCTATACAACAAGTAAAAAAATAAGTCATGCAATCCCTACTGTATTTCTTCATCTATCCAGAGGAGAGTTTTGACATGGGCCTCACCCAAGGGGATGGGGAGGGGATGAAGAGAAGGGTGGCGCTTGAGGTGGTGGAGGGAAACTTCGCCACAGCTGCTGCTGCAGCACTGGCCTCCGCAGCTACCAAAGCAAAGGTGGATGTCCAACCTCTTTCCTTGCACCCGCTCCCGTGACCATTAATAGTGACAAAAATAGTGATTCATCTGAACTCACTCTTCTCCTTCTTCCTCTTATGTCCCTCTAGCACTTGGCTGCAGTAGAAGAGAGGAAAATCAAATCTCTGGTGGCTCTGCTGGTTGAGACTCAGATGAAAAAGTTGGAGATCAAACTGAGACACTTTGAAGAGCTGGAGACCATTATGGATCGAGAAAAAGAGGCTGTGAGTTAGAGTGCCTTGTTCAAACAAGACCCGGCATCACTCCAAGAAACTTATGAGAGCACACTAATTATTTTTCAGTGCAAGAGTGCTTTTCGACATGCATCTTAATTGCCATTGATTTATTTTTGGAAATTAATAGTTTTCGTAATCTCTTAAAGGGATAGTTCACCTAAAAATGAAAGTGTTATCATTTACTCACCCTCATGTTGTTCCAAACCTCTATGGCAGGGGTAGCGAACTCCGGTCCTGGAGAGCCGCAGCCCTGCAGAGTTTAGCTCCAACCCTAATTAAAACTCACCTGCCTGTAGCTTCCTAGTAACCCTTCAGACCTTGATTAGCTTGTTCAGGTGTGTTTGATTAGGGTTGAAGCAAAACTCTGCAGGGCTGTGGCTCTCCAGGACCGACGTTCGCCACCCCTGGTCTATGGTTTCATTTTGTCTTTTTTATTTAAACCGAGAAAGATCTTGCTGACTGCTAACTGCATTTTTAATGTGAAGATTTCAGGTTTGAACTTCATTTGATATCTGTCTGTTGTAGCTGGAGCAGCAGAGACAGCAGTTATTGTCGGAGAGGCAGAACTTCCACCTGGAGCAGGTGAAATATGCCGAGATGAAGGCACAGCAGAACGTGGAACAGCAGCAACAAACAGGAGCTACACAGAGCAGCAGTAGTACAGCATACAACCCTCTTCACCACGGTACACTCTCCTATAAATCACAGTCAGCGCTTTTGTATCATGCACACTCATATTTGTCTTAATAACACTGGTTTTTGTGTCCTCCTTAGGTCGTTCGGTGGGCAGTGCTGGTACTGGACAGGTCATGGGTGCTCGGCACTCTGGAGCTCCCAATGGCATGTGTGAGTAAAATGCTGATCAACTCCGGTGCAGTGTTCAAAACCTTTTGAATCCGGCTGCTTTTTATTTTTTTCCAACTCAGACCAAACTCCACCGTCCTCACAGGCCGATGGGGCCGCACCCATGTAACGTCTTCAACGCCTTAAGACCCAAACTCCGCAAGATGACATGAAGGACATGGTCACATCATTATCCACATTCACCTTTACAATAGCACTTCTGTGTATATTTAATATTTTTTAAGCATTGATGCTGGCATATAAGGGTCAGATTTGAGGCTTTTCGTTGCCATATCTGTCTGTACTTAATGTTTGTAGATCTGTTTTTGTATTGCCACAAAGTACTAAAACATTTGTTTTAGTAAGAATAAATCTTTTATATGAAGTTATAACTTCTTTAGTGAGCTCATCTATAGAAGGTTTTCTACTACTTTTGTATTTTTAATTTAGTAGCTTATTCTCTGATGCATTTCATTTGATATTCGAGGTATTTCAGCAGTCAACTGTTCTTAACTATGAAGAAAACTGGGCTGCGCCATTACTTGATCTGTTCCAGATGTATTTTTAACAGCTTTAATTTTTAAAAGAAACTTAAATCACAGGTCACTGTAGTGCACAAGGTTTGGGAAAAGCTCTTTTCCATACATGAGAGTAAATGGAGAAGGGAGCTGTGGAGCTCATAAATGAAATTTGAGAGCTACAGGCTGCAGGGGAAGATTTTCAGCAAAAACACTTTTATTGTATGGAAAGGAGCAACTAGATTTTCCTTAAATAGTGTCCTGTGTGTTCGACTTAAGAAAGAGTCACAAGTTTGCAGCAACATAAAGGTGAATAAATAATTATAATTTTAGGCTGAACTGTCCCTTTGAGAATTGTTATAGAAATGGTACCCTGGCAACTCACTGAATTAGGTTTGTTGAAATACTAAAATGACTAAAACTGAAACAAAATTAAAGCTATATTTAAATAAATAAGGAAAATGAGAAACGCACTGTTAGGGGGAAAAAAAAAAATTGTATATGGTGAGGAATAATATGGAAGCATATGGGTAGCAAAATTCATTTTGAAATGTAATCTGCAAAATGACAATGCAATATGTAAAATGGCAATGTATTTCTTTATTTAAATTAAAATTTTCCCATATAAATATTTGCAACATTTAGTGCAAAATGAAAATGAAAATTCAATTATATAATTTACATTTGCCATTTCCTACACTAGTTTTAATATGTAAACTAAAAACATATTTTAATGCTTTATAAGTTGCAAAATTAAAATGAAATTGTATTACCCAAATTGATTATACATGTTTAACATGTCCAGGCAAAAACGGTAGCAAAATTATCATTTAAATGCCATTTTCCCTAAATGCGTTCAGACTTACGGGTAGGACACTTGAGATTGCATTTTCATCGTGATACCGCGCAAGAATTGTAGCAAAATGCGGTGTGAATTTCAAAATTCCTTCTGAGCCAAATGTGCAGCAAAAGGGTAGCAAAAATGGTGATTTAAATGCCTTTTATTTTTCCTAAATGCATTGACACTCACACTTTGCATTTTCATTAAATACCCCGTGATAATGTAGTTTAAGTCAATGTGGATTTGAAAATGCATTCTAAGCCGATTGTCGGCAAATTCACTGATCTATATAAAGATGAACGTAGATCAGTGGGCAAGATGAGAACTTAGATAAGGTTTGTCCAAGAAGTTGCTATATTTGTCCCTAAACTTTTGAAAAAAAAATGTCTCAAAAGGGGTGGGGAAGTCAAAATTGCTAAATTGTCAACACTGAGTATGGTAGCAAGTAGGTAAAAGTATTGCAGTGTCTGCTTATGTGCATCAATCGGAGTGTAAAACAGTGAGAGATGTTGAGGCAGGTGAAAAGCGGTTGGTTATTGGTGAATATTGACCTATTGTGCGTCTTGTTGCCGAGCACCGTTTTGTTATAATGATTGGCAGGTTGGGGGCGTGATCGGCTTAAAATGCATTTTCAAATCCACATTGACTTAAACTACATTATCACAGGGTATTTAATGAAAATGCTATTGAAACTTCTTAAGTGTAAGTGTCAATACATTTAAGAAGAATAAAGGACATTTAAATCACCATTTTGCTACCCTTTTGCTGCACATTTGGCTCAGAATTGGCTCTGCATTTTGAAATTCACACTGCATTTTGCTACAATTCTCACGCGGTATCACGATGAAAATGCAATCTCAAGTGTCCTACCTGTAAGTCTAAATGCATTTAGGAAAAATGGCATTTAAATGATAATTTTGCTACAATTTTTGCTTGGACATGTTAAACATATCTAATCAATTTGGGTAATACAATTTAATTTTAATTTTGCGACTTATAAAGCATTAAAATATGTTTTTAATTTACATATTAAAACTAGTGTAGAAAATGTCAAATGTAAATTATATCATTGAAATTTCATTTCCATTTTGCACTAAATGTTGCACATATGTATGGGAAAATGTACATTTAAATACTGAAATACATTGCCATTTTACATATTGCATTGTCATTTTGCATATTACATTTCAAAATGAATTTTGCTACCCATATGCTTCCATAGAATAGGGGCTCTGAAAGCAACTGTATCAAAGAAACAAGAGTTATTCTTAAGAGAAGGTCAAACAGTCATACAGAGCATCTGCAGAGTGTGACAAATGAATAACCCTTAGTCCCAATCTTTTATATTCTAAACTATACCAGGATATTCTCTTATTAACCAATTGTGATGCATATTGCTTACATTCCCTTTTATGGGACCCCTACCTAACAGAAATAACATTTCTTGTCTGACACTTGTTTTGACACATGGTATCAACATGAGCATGAAGATAGACACAGAAGAAGCTTCTAGAACAGAATTAACAGATGATAAAGTCATTTTCCATCAGCACAAAATTACTAAAACCTAACACCACAACTGAAAATATAAATTAAAAGCTATTTTAAAATATTTATAAATGCTATAATTTTACTTATACTATAATAAAACTAAAAAAAAATTACAGAATTACTACAACTTAATATGCAAACCATAAATATATTAAAAAAAAACTAATTCTACATATTCATAAATACAATTTATAATTCTACATAATACTGGTAAAAAAAAATACCAATTTCCCCTTTGACCAAGGATAATTTCCACAGATCGCACTGATTTTAGAAAAACTAGTTATGGAGTGTCCCTGCCCTCTACACAGTGTTTGCTTATGTTTGGACTGGCGTCTATGGGTGACCCAATTTCAGACGCTTTGTTCGGGGGAGCCGCCTGCATCAGTTTTGTACCTTAATTCAAAGAGCTCAGATACATTTTTTATTATGAAACAATTTCTATGTCAATATTTTATATTTAAGTGCATTTAGGGACCGTAAATGTTAAATATTTACTCCTGAGCTGATTGACGTTTTCAGTGATTCTATCACATATGACAGAAATTGTGTCGGTAAGGAGGCGCATGCGCAGATGACTTCACATCAACCGTGAGTTCGACTGGCATATAAAACTCGCGCTGGCGGAGTCCGCTGGAATTAGCCTACTGTAGTCTGTGGCACCGAAACTCTCCGCTTCCTCAGTGGACGCCTGATAACTGGCTCTCATTACTAACGAGACACATTTAACTGTCTTGGCATCTTGTTGGAGTTGGATAAGAGATGACGGGTCCCTAGCGACGCTAAAGGGTGGCCTGAATCTCGACCAAAGAGAAATAACAACTGAAGACAACATTCGAAGTTGGCATGAAGCAGCGCGCTTCGTAACGCATTCAATCTAAGAAGATTTATGTCCAGGATTATAGCTCGGATTCTCTCAGATTTCTCCCGTATGACTATATCTTAAATAGAAGATCCACCTGGTTCATTTGAAGTGTTTTGGAAGACAGTTTGTGTCGTGATGAACTCCAGGAGCACGTTGGTTCCAGCAGTGGTGCTGTCCAGCGTCCTGCTCCTTCACTTCGCTCCTTTGTGTGTTAATGGTGGTGAGTATTATTATACAATCTTTCTAAATGCCTGCCTTTCCTGCATTTAACAGAGACCTTCGTAGTTTTTTCTGTGATCTGTTGGAGCTTTTTAGGGTATAAATTGTGCAAATTTTAAACAAAAATGTAATAAAACTTAATAGATTAATTATCGGATCTAGCGATAAATGGGTGTTTACATGTGAATGAACTTTAAGTTATGTAATAAATCGTTAGCACAATTACTTGAGGAAGCTCGAGTCGTTTCAATTTCAGAAGTATGGACCTTTTAGATAAAATGTTTTACACACAGCCTTTTTTTCTTCACCTTGGTATATTTTTTTATAAATATTTAAATGTCTTTTAACAATGTATGTAGTAATTCATGGCTGATCATGAACCAAATAATTTACTCGATTTTATACTTTGTATAAAACATGTATTAGGCTATGTATTTTAGACTGGATAATAGAAAACTTACTTTTGGCTTGCAAAAAAATGCTCATGACTTTTTCATGTGCATCTTTTAATCGCAGCTGTATTTGATGCTTCATTTTTAAATCTAAGTTTAAGTTTACCAAATAATTCACATATTTATGGAATAAGAGGGTGACCATTTTTCCACTGACAAAATTATGGTCCTTTAAAAAAAAATGTTGCTGAGCAACAGCACCTGAAGACTAGGTCTAGGTAATGATTGAGTAAAGCAGGAAATTATCATTTGCATTAGAAGCTTTAAACGTTTGCACTTAGCTGAACCTCTGACCTCTTGGCAGACTTCCCAAAATCGATGTGTTATCGCATCACTGACTCTTCAGTGACATGCATCTTTCATCAACACAGGACGTTAAGCAAGCAGGCTCTGCTGAGAAAACTGACCTAAGCAATGATAACAAATAAATAGCTTTTATTTTGCTTTTTAAAATCATTAACAATTAACAAATCCAGTGCTCTTGTTTTTGTTTGTGGGGGTGGGAACGTAAATGGTGCAGTTGCTCTGACATGTAGCTGGAATTATTGATTAACACACTTCCTGGTAAACGATGATTGACAGTATTGATTAGTCATAGACTGCAGAAGGTAGGCTTTAAAGTAGTGGTCGACCGATATGGATTTTTTTGATAGTTGATGCCGATATTGAGGTGGCCGATAAGTATGATATTACACGATTGTATTTAAATAACATGCATAATACTGTATGCTGCAAAGACACTGCATATTTAATAATAACATCATTAATTGAAAAATTGATAAATATGAAACAAATTTAAACTTGCTTAAGTGTAAATCTGTTTATTTTACAGATTTAAAAAAAAAACTTGATTCTGTACTACTATTACAGTACTTCTCACAAATATAGTTAAAACATTAATAAAAAAAAGGAAGTAGACACTGTAACCAACAGTGCATTTAGTAATAAGTTTGTGCTCAGCGGAAATCTTTTTTTTTTTTTTTACAAATAAAGACCAGGGTTAACCAGAGGTTAATTTTACATACAACAAACCGTGACATAACATGAATATGATGGTGGCCAACTGGATATAGCATAGCATATTTTGAAATCAAGAATTTATACTTTACATCCACATCTGCACTAAGGTGCTGGCATTCTTGCCACTGTCAAAATAAAAGTTCCTTCTGAAACATTGGCTGCACAGAAAAAACAACAACATATCGGCTGACACTGGTAAGTGGACAAATATCAGCTAAAATGTCGTTGACTACATCAGTCAACACAATCAAAATTGACTTTTTTGTATACATTGTTCCAGTGGCTCTTCTTCCATAAAGTGAACGATTAATCAGTGCACATTATTCCAAACAAAAAAATGTCATCTTAATCTAAATTTCTTCTTCTTTTTTTTAAACCCATTACCTCCGACCACTTGTCAAAGGTGCCACTTTTTACAATCCACAAATTCTCTAAATAAAATACTGCCCTCAATATGCCCATTGAATGTTATTATCCTTATAGAGATGTCACATCATTTTATATTAAAGTCAACTCAGAGAATTCAGTCAAACCACTTTTCATAGCTATTCATTCAGCTGAAATGTGTTGTGTATTGTTGCCAGTTGCTATTATTCCCTCTTTTACTTATATTTGGTGTTTCTTTTGTTGTTATGTTAAACTAGGGACAATCATTACAATAACTGAACTTGCATTGCTAGTGCCTAGCTGAAATTTGTGGGCATGCTGTGACAAAAGGCTGTTACTCTTCTTTGTTGTTTTTACCAAGACCTAGCACTCACATCCCCAACCTTAGGAGAACAAGAGAGAGAAACAAAAAGCGACAAGCAGGATGCATTCACAAAAACATGCACAGATTTAGTCTTTGAACCATGTCTTGATGTTTTTTTTTAAATGTCTAAAACCAGCCTCAGATAATTTCTTTAGGGCACTTTCTTGCTAAACTTGCTTAGATCCTTTCCATGCATGGCACAAGAGAGCCATCTGCCACTGCGGTCTCATAACAGCAGAGACTGTCAATGAGCATTACCGTCAACGAGCTAGTGTTAGCGCTGGCCTAGCCTGCCCGTATGGAGCTCCCAGTGAGGGCCAACAGTATTTATCCTGCCAGACGCTGACACTAGAGCTGCCTACACTGTTGGAAACTTATGGAACTACACAACCTGTTGGATACTTGCTGGTTGTCAGCGTCTGTGCAATAAAACATTACAGTTGAATGAATCATGTTGCTGTTGATCCAGTTTTGTACTTGTTAAACTCAATGACGTTTCTAGACACACAAGGAGACCAATCTCTTTCAAACACTTGATGCTGTGCACACACATTGTGTACATGCACTAAAATATTCTTGCATCAATTGGAATTTGGACATTCTGATTATAAACCAGTAATGCAAAAGCATTTACCTGATTAAGACAAAATTATGATTTCGAGAAATCCACGTATGACTGCTTGCATACACCAATATTAATTAGAATGTTTTTGTCTCTGCAAGCATTATTTGAAAATCAGTTATTAAAATGTGCATGTCCACATGAAAGTGATTCTATATTTGTTCTATATTTTACATGTATAATATTTTATAATTTTATAGTTTAATACAATTTAAAATGATTATTTTAGTAAATTATAAATTATTTACAATGTTAATGTGAATAGCTAAAATTATAATTTATTAAAAGCTATTTATTAATTAATCTTAATGCTTAATCAGTAAAGATTGTGTAAAAAAGGTGTAAAAAATTATCAGTATGAAATTGGCATCCCCACCAATGGATGATAACGTATTATAAATGACCTCAGATGATGCCAACCATGAAACAACATACAGAACTACCACATTTTGCTATAAGTTTGATTGCATCATATAATAATTGCTGTTAATAGTGTTTATCGTCTGTTTGATTACGTCTTTAAATGATTTTTCCTTACATTTCTGTCATATGTACATTAACTGACAGTCACCACTGATAAGCTACTACTAAATATTGTAGAAACCTAATTTGCTGTAAAGTTGCTTTGCAACGATTTGTATCGTGAAAAGCGCTGTACAAATAAACTTGAATTGAATTGAATAAACGTGCGCTGCATATGTCATCTGATGCTTTAAATGCTCAAGCTCTTTAAAGTCAGGTGGATTCTGACTGACTCTGAAAGTGTTTTCAACGTTGTTGTCATTATAGTTGTGGTGTGGACTTTATAGTTCTAGTTATCATTCTTTAACTTTTGCATTCTTTGAATATCATTAATAAAAAAAATGCTACAATAAATCTTAAAGCCATACTGTTTATGAATGGTGAAACAAACAATTGGCTTTCCCTCTTAAATCGAGATTAGAGTGAACTGGAATTTTTTTAACTGATCTTCTGTAATCTGCTCAAATGCTCATTACTGGCTCATGCATGTGCCCAAAGTAACATTTCATTTATCTGATACATTCTCAACACATTGAGTGCAGTTTTTGGCCCAAATATTTAATTTAGGTGGCATAACTATTAATGGGTCATGCTGTACAAGAGTAGCACAGGTTGGGGTGGGGCATGGAGTTGGCACTGTTAATTCACCAGGTCTGGCATCTCTATATGTCTGTTCGGGCTTTGCACAGATACTGCTGTGAACCTGCACCCCATCCCTGATGCCAAGGACGTCCATGCCAGCTCCCCTGCCAAGCAGCATCACAGTACTATTTATAACTAAACACATGGGTGCCAGTGTGGATTTTATTCAGCAGAGCTTAGAATGACACTTGCCTTTAGGATACCAAGTCATCAGATTTGAAATTAAGGTGAGGTGAGTTAAATGTTAAGTTGTCTATTACATAAAGAGCATTGGCTGCATAGTAGAAGAAATCGGCAGGCCTACATGGCATCTGCGCCCACAGAAATCAGAACGCCCGTCATTCACAAAGTTCTGCACAGTCTCTGCCCCTTGCATTTTAAAGTTGCATTGAAATGGAAAAAGTGACAGATCCTTTCTTCTGTATGGTGATGTACATCCAAAATGGATTATCAAAAATATAGATCAGGATTTTTATCCGTTGGTTGTTGATTGGATGGAGGCAGATCTGATTGCAAGCTTGCAGCCAATTGTAAGAAACATCTTCACAACACAAATTAAGATATTTTTGATGAAATCCGAGAGCTTTCTGACCCTGCATAGACAGCAACGGAGCTACCTCATTCAAGGCCCAAAACGGTAGTAAGGACATTGTTATAATAGTCCAAGTGACAATAGTGGTTCAACCTTAATTTTATGAAGCTACGAGAATACTTTTGTGCACAAAGAAAACAAGAATAACGACTTTATTCAACAATTTCTTCTCTTTAGCTCTCAGATTTAATCAAAAATATCTTAATTTGTGTTCCGAAGATGAACGAAGGTCTTACGGGTTTGGAATTACATGAGGGTGAGTAATTAATGACAGAATTTTCATTTTTGGGTGAACTGTCCCTTTAAGGAGACTAAATGATTGGAGAAGTCCTGCATACATCACCAGACCGAAGTCATTTCTGAAGTCTGGTGAAAATTAATTTAAGACATTAAAATTTATGAGGTAAAAAAAAAAAACAGTAAATTGAAACTGTGATGGATGAATTGCTCACAAAAAGATCAATAACATGTTTTGAAAATTGATGATTTGTCTTTTTGTGCTGACTTTAAATACTTTGGCTAATTTAATTACCATTTCAACTAGCAATAAAAATGGACTAATCAGCTCTGTTTAACACATTTTGAAGATTAAGTGAAAAGGAGTTGTTCACCTAGAAATCTTCTGTTAAACACAAAAGAATATATTTTAAAATGCCTTTTATGCACTCAAAGAAAGGCAATGGGATCCAGTATTGTTATAGACTTGTATTTTATAGACAAACATTCTTCTAAATATTTTCTTTTGTTCTTTGTACATGGACATTTTTATGGAGCATCTTGACATGTAACCTCAAATACTCCCTCCGATTACAGGTCTGTTTGGGTCATCAGAGATCGAGGGAGAGAAAGATAGTACGAGGGATGAGAGAAGAGAGGAAGAGTTGACATTTGCAATTTTCCATGCTCTGCAACATGAAGTCTTTTTTCTCCCCTCAAGAGTGTTACATAAGCAAATAATGTCAACCAGAGACAGAGGAAGAACGTGTGCTGTTTTTTTAATGAAGGTGAAGAGAGAATATTAAGATATTCAACAGTACAGTGTTGCTTTACAGTACTATAGCACTGAAGTTGGATGTTTAGATTGGTCTTCCTTGATCATCATTTATTTGTATTCTGATTTGATTCAGATTTTATGTGGTATTGATTGTAAATAGAGGCCATGAGCACAGTGAGAGAATGAATGACGGCATACTTTCACACACTCTTACAAATTTAAATGTCTCACTGGTGAGGTCATGAGAAAATACTTCTCTTCCCTATTTCTTTCTCACTCTCGATCGTCTTACCCCCCTTTTTTCTCACTATCCCCCTCTCTCTTGCAGTCTTGACTTGCTTACTAAACAGAAAGGCGACAGAAATCCTTCTCAAAGGCTTTGGCACTGGTCTTCAAATAGGCGGAAGGAGAAACACACTCTCACTGTCACATTTTTTCATCTTCACTCCATTATAGCATGTGTTTTGTGGTATTTTTCTTTCAATGAGACTTTCCCCCAACCTCTCTTTTCTGTCAGCTGACCCCTTCACAAGGAGTTATGCAAATCAAAACAACTGTTTTCCTCTAGTCTCTCTTGCTCTGGGGCTCTGGGTTGACTGTGTTTTATTCTCATCAGTCCAGTGTAGCATTTAGCTCTTAAATATTTCAAAATAAAAGTAAAAGGAGCCAACTGTTGCTTTGAAATTAAACTAGATAAGAATTTAATAGAATACTTGAACATCACGTGAAGTATGTGAGAAATAATTTATGCACCCACTGCCATCTCCGTTACCCTCTCAGGGGGGATTGTGTGAATAAATGAATGGGAGAAAGAGAGGAAGTGAATCAAGTGGAGAGGACAGAAGGGTCTCTGTTTTATATGGCTTTTGAGATGTTCCAAAATGGCAGCCCCTTTACATTGCTTCTTGGCAACTGTGTGTGTGAGTGAGTGTCTGTTAGGCATTGATGTGTGTCTTGGAATTAATTTACAATAAAGAGGAATTAAACCAAGAATGCCCATGGAAACAGAATTTCACACTGTCAGTCAAATACTTAAAGTAGATTGCTGAAAGACAATCTAGAAAAATTGACTGTAAATGTTCCTCAGATCTGCTTTTTGTTACCGTTTTAATTGAAATGCTCAAGCAGAATCGAAGTGGGCTTTATTTGCCAATTGGGCACAAACGCTTTATATATATACTTGTGTGTTACTGTTTTAAATGCACTACCGTTAAAAAGATGTCTATTTTAAATGGAAGTTCAAAAGAACATCATTTATTAAAGAAATGAAAAAAGTATCTTGTATGTATCTTGATATATCTTGGTATATAGTATTAGAATGATTTCATAAGGATCATGTGACACTTAAGACTGGAACAAGGGCTGTTGAAAATTCAGCTTTGCAACAATGGAATAACATATATATTTTTAAAAAATATTAAAATGGAAGGCAGTTTTATTTTAATATTAATCATATTTACAATATTACTGTTTTTACTTTATTTCTGATCAAATAAATCCAGCCTTCTTTTAGAGACTTCTTTTAAATCTTATTGAATACTGACCCAACGTTTTGAACAGTAGTGTATATATTTCATGAAATAATATTAGACAATCAGGGATTGAAATAAAAAGGATATTTCCACATGCGTTCATATTTGAGGTAGATTGCATTAGATTGGTTTACAGTATCAGTAAAAGATAATCAGTTAGGTCAGTGAGATTTTCCAGTGCTAAAGAGGAATTCCCCATTGTGTGTTTATCTTTGTGCATTAAAGCTTACCCATCCAGACTGACCAATGCAAGTCTCAACCTACAGCCCTTAATCCTAATCTGAATCCCAATCCTAGCCCGGGCTCAGGGGGGTACATTAGTACATCAGAGCTGCTAATCCAGCTACCACAAGCCGCTTTGGAAAGAAATCTGGGGCCTCGCCCACAGCAGTGTATAATTGAGCAGATTTGTCTGGGTGTGTGTGATACAGAGTACATATTATGTCTTTTGTTCTCTCTCTGCATGAGTAGCTGAGTTTGCAGTATAGCAGTGAGTGCTTGTGAAGGTGTTCTTATACAGAGAAATAAATAAATAAAAGAGTTTGTGACTAACTTTTATTATTATTTGTTTGTTTTCCAGGCAGTTCATTTATCTCCAATTCTACTGGCACTAATTCCTCAGACCTGAATGGGGTGGGGCTTAAGTCTGCACTTCCTGGTGAAGTCACACCTATTGCCCAGGCCCAAGTTCACTCTCGAAAACCACGAGCTGGAGAAGAGTCAGGCAGCGGTGGAGAAACCTCAACCAGTACTGTTGATTCAGCCGAAAGGGAACGCCTCATTGATCTGACGATAGATGGCATGGCTGCCCGGCTGGCCACGCTGGCTGAACCCCGGACACGTGGCCTGTCCCAGCTGGATTTTAGCGAGGAGAGAATCGAGGACAGCGCCCCGCGCTGGAAGAGCGAGAGACTACAAGCAGATGGGACGTTGTTAGATCCTGTCACGAGTCCTGCTCCTGAGTCCACCTCTTCCCAACCAGAAGAAGTTATCACGGTGAATTTTTACAATCCTTCTCACCAACAGCATGTGCTTGATCCTCCTGCTTGGGTTCAGGAGCTCCAGGGTGGAGATCCAACTTCCTGGACCCTTTCTGATTTTTATGATTATCTGTCACCTGACTATTCGCCCACTGAAGTTTACCTAGAGGAAAGCCAACCAACGCCACCTGACATGGAAGATGAAAATGTTCTTCTCATAGCCAGCGCAGTTCCCTCCAACACTAAAGTTATCACCTCTGATGATGGATCTGGAGAAACTTCACCTGGAGCATCAGATGTGCTCAACTCGGGTTGTCTCTATGGATTTGTGCATTATAATGGCACATGTATCTCGTCATGCGACATCTTCCCCAGTTACTGCTTCAATGGAGGACAGTGCTATGTGGTTGACGGTATTGGAGCTTTTTGCCGGTAAGTCGCACGCATACATGTGTTAAGGCCCATTCACACCAAGAATGATAACTGTAATAAGTATATAAGCATCCTCAACAACGCAAAACAATGTTCTGTTTTTATAAGCATGCACTGTAGTTATGTCATCTGCAGCTTTAAAGGAACACTCCACTATTTTTGAAAATAGGCTCATTTTCCAACTCCCCTAGAGTTAAACAGTTGAGTTTTACCGTTTTCGAATCCAATCAGCCGATCTCCGGGTCTGGCGGTAGCACTTTTAGCTATAGCTTAGCATAGATCATTGAATCTGATTAGACGGGGGGGGGGGGTCCTGTCCCCCCCAACCCCCCGGGATTTCGGCCTATGGGTTCAGTTTTAATTAGTCATGTGTATTTAATGGAACAATGGAGAGTGTTTGTCTCTAATTGGCCTGCTTAGCCAACACACAAAACAAGACAAATTAATGGAAGAACACAAGTAATACAGTACATATACTTAATATGTAACATTTAATAGATTACACTTTTCATCTAAATATTTAAATTGGTTTGTGAAAGGTGTCATCATACATGTTTGAGCTGTTTTTTATCATGTTTAAGGAATGCGGAAAGCATCAGTGGCATCTGATCAAACCTTCATAATGAGTTTGAAGATGTAACTCGATCCTTCAGTCATGTTCTTGCATCTGTTCATGGTGCGGGATTATGATTTACATCAAATGTTGGGATTGAAGAGGGATTGAGTCTCAGTTGAAGACATCTCTTGGGAATAGTAGTAAACGGCCTATAATGATCTTGAAACTGGGCCAAGCTCATGCTAACCAGGTCATGCACGCTATTTTACACTGTGCGGCAGTTGCCATAGGGTTTATAGGAAAGCTTTTTGGCCTTTATTTAAATGGCTAATGTAACAACACTCTACCATATGTAAAACAAATAAGATATATAATATATAAATCATTGTTTAAGTTCTTCAGCCATTGTGTTAGTTGCTGCTACAAGAACATGAAAACGTCTTGCTGTAGAAATGTTTGGTGACAAAACTATGCCAACAGTGCACTTACTCAATTTATTATTTTCCCTCCATCTGCTAGAAATATCAATGATCATTAGCTGTTGCCTTAAATATGCTTGATCCAGTATGTGTTGTGCAGTTGAGTAAAACAGAACGACCCAGTTTTTTTTCATCAGTGTCCTTCAGTAACACTTGCCTGGTGCCTTCAAAAGCCTTGGTAATTTTAAAGTGACAAGGTTTTTTTTTAAATGCCATACCTTATTACTATTAGGCAGAATTTTAAGTTCCTAATAGTTATCCAGCGCGCAATGCCAGAACCATGAACATGTTTAACATACAAAAATTCTAACGTATCTCATAAATGTGACATTTATATCACAACTGTGGCTGTATTTCTTGTTTTATTTTTTTTTGGAGACTGCTCTCCATATAGTAGCGAATCAGATTGAATTAAAAACTTACAAGAACTGGACACTGTCAAAAGTGGCAGAAGTGATGAGACCATAAATTATTTGTGAAGCAGCTTTAGAATATAAAATGTAAGAAATATGAGGCTATATACTGTACATAAACCATTATTAATTACAAATGCTTTTACGAAACACCAAAGAACTGTAAATGCCTTTCACATTTGTAGCTAATTTCAGTAATGGAGATTAACATACACATTCAGTTTTTTTTTTTTTTTTTTTTTCAGACATTTATTCAGTTTGACACATGGTAATAATCAGAAGATTGCTTTAATACTATGATAAAAATGATGGGTTGAATTCCTGTGTGCATGATAAGAATGTTTAGCATTTGACTCACAAACAACTGCTATAATTTCAGGTCCACACTCCAAGCCTGTCATCATGGCTTGGCATCATATCACTACTAAACCAGCATCCACTACTGCCACAACTCTGCTCAGAGGCCAGTGCAGAACCTTATTAAACATTTGCTCAAATAGATTTTGGTCAGAGCCCAGATTTGTGAATGTGTGTGTTTCAGTTTAAGAGCTAAAGACCCTGCCTCAAGGTGGTGCTTTGGACCATAATAGTGGGGTTCTGAGAATCTTATTTGTGTGTAGTGAAGCCTCAAAGCTAGATGATGTGATGTGTTAAGCTGTGTATTTGAGCAGATGACAACTGGCTCTACACTGGATACTGCGACACCCTTATCCACATCTTTAAAGTCAGAATGAAATCAGCATGAACTATTTCTTTCCTGCCTTATTATAATTGATCAGTGCTCATTATCCCACAGAAAGAATAGTTTGACTTTGTGATCTTGCTATAGTCAGATATTTTTATTTATTTTAACAACAACAATCTATTTTACCTATTTATTTATTTATTATAATAACAATATAAACTAAGGAAACAAATTCATTAAATTATAATTGAATTATATGAAATAATTTATTGATCTATTTTTTTTTAATTTGTCCTTTTTTGTGATTTTATTTAATTTTTTTATAATAAAAAAGCAAAACCCCATTCAGTCCAGCTCCATTACTGAATGTAAAAGTAACTTTCAGTCAGGCACTGGATTTTGGTGTGTGGCACACACCGCAGGGCTAACTTGTCGATCGCTGAGAGAAGGCATGACAGGGTGCTGTCTACATTAACGGGGTCAGTGCTATTAGAAATTAGCATGTCAAGTCAAGGTTTCCATTTGTAGGGCACGTAAAGAGTGAACTAACAGATGAACGTAAGGTTTGTGGGGTGGAGGGGTCAATGAGTGCATTTTCTTCAGTGAATGCATTTTTGTGTAGCGCAGCCAATGGTTTATACTAAATGGATGGGTAGTTAGTAATAGACCATAAAACTAAGTTTCAAATTGATCTTTTTAGGCCGAATAGTAAACTTGGCCTACATGCACACTGAGCAATGATTTCCTGCATGTGCACTATTGATTGGCCGTTCACTCACTACAAAATGTACCCATAGGCTGCAGAGTGTAAGGGCCCTATCATACACCCGGCGCAAGGCGCGGCGAAAGTGTTTTTGCTAGTTTCAGCCCGACACAGTTCTCATTTTCCCGTCCTGCGCCATGTTGTTTAAATAGCAAATGCATTTGCGCCCACGGGCGTGCTGGTCTAAAAAAGAGGTGTGTTCAGGCGCATTGTTGGCGCGTTGTTATTTTGAGAAACTGAAAATAGACTGCGCCATAGACCAACTCAAACCTAAACTCAAAACTAAAGTCTGGCGCAATATTTTTTCTTTGTTATTTAAAGAGCGCGTTCGTAATATGCGCCTATAGGCAGGTGCACAACGCGCGTACACTTTGCTTATTACACACACAGGGATGCGCAGCAGCACACAAACATTTTTAAATATGAAAAATTACATTCCGCCATGGCGCGAGCGCAACTGGCTTTTAAAGGGGGTGGGAGATGAGACTCTGATTGGTTTATTGCACGTTACGCCCAAAAAACGCCCATTACTCATTAAGAGAACAGGGACAACCCGTTTAGACCATGCGCCCGGGCGCGCCGACCGTTTTCCCGCCGTTAAACTAGCAAAAGTGGATTCGGACACGCGCTGAGTGCACCTGCGCCGTGCGCTTTAGACCATGCGCTTAGATCGTTAAAATAGGGCCCTATGTATGTATGTATTTGTGGTTTGTGCTTGCCCAGCATCATATGCCATGTCTGTTAGTTTAATGGTATTTGCTTTGGCTTCATTTTTGCTCCGCCAACAAAAATGTAACGTGCAATATTTTGTCTAAAATATAAGTTACTCAGTAGTAACTTCTTGTTTATTAAGCTGTTGTATAAAAGCAATATCAGCACAGCTGTAATTTACCTGTGTCTCAATCAATGAACCATATGTGCTAAAATACATTACATAATAGAAAAATAATAGATCCAGCATCTTCAATAAGATATCGAGCACCTCACTGACAACACTGGTAAATGAGAGAATTTGTAAATCTATTTTTAGAAGTTGTGAACTGAGCACAGCTCAGGTGCTTTATTCTCTGTGGGACCGGCACTAATAGAGGAGCACATGCACGTCCTTGACAAGGCCATCTGTCCAGTCATGCAGCTGTAAGCTCTGCTGTAACCTTGCAGTAGATTCATAGTAATGATAAATGGGTCAAAAGGCCACACAACATCTGTCATTAAATGATCACAGAAGTGAATTATTGTATATTCTAGTTTTGAATGTTGCTCAGCTGCCTCTTTTCTAACACCCCTCTCTTTGTTGTTTGTAGGTGTAACATTCAGGAGTATATCTGGAACAAGGGCTCCAGGTGCGAGTCGGTCATTTCAGATTTCCAAGTGATGTGTATAGCAGTGGGCGGAGCTGCCATCATGTTGCTCCTCCTCTTCATGGTTGTAGTCTTTTTCTCCAAGAGGATGCACGTGCTTAAGACTGAAAACAGACGACTTTGCAAGCACAGGTGACACTTGCATGTAAACACACTTCTTAGAGTCTTAGTTTAAGATCTGATGGTTTAAATATCGGTTGAATACACTGTTGCACATACATGCTGGAGTACAATAAAATGAACAGTGTTAACATGGGGCTTTGAACACAATGATGTCACCCTTCTTTGCTAAAAGTAGGCCAATCTGACCGTGCTACACGAGAGAGTGACCTATATACTGTGCAGCCAAAGGCATTTAAACACAGTCCAACAGAGGGGTGAGATGGAGAGCAGAGTGGAAGAGAAAGGAGAATAGGAGGTTAGCATAGGGTCCCACTTTATTAACTACTATGTACTTACATTAAAAAATAAGTACAATGTACTTATTATGTTCATATTGAATTGCAAAAGGTTAGGGACAGGTCTGGTGGTATGGGTAGGTTTAAGGTGTAAGGGATGGGTCAACAGTGAATAAATAATTCAATTACAGAAATTAATTACAGATGTAATTACATGCAGGTATTTTTTTAAGTACAATGTAAAACATGTATGTACACAATAAATGCATTGTATCAAATTATTCATTTAAATGTAAGTACATAGGACATAAGGCCACCTAATATAAAGTGGGACCGAGCATAGTAATGAAGACAAGATGACAACAGTGAAAAGTGATTAAGGTTGAGTTTTAATAACTGCCCATCAGGGCCATCTGCTGCAGGTAACACTTGTGTGCATGTGTGCTTGTAGCAGAAACAAGTTAAACTTTTAATCCACTGCATCAAATAGAGTAATAATGTCCAAGCCACTTTCTATTTCAATGATATTTTTCTGAAGGATCATGTGACACTGTTGACTGGGGTAATTGCTGCTGAAAATTCAGCTTTCCTATCACAGGAATAAATTATATTTTAAAATATATTAAGATAGAATTTTTTTTAAAATTATTGTCATATTTCACAATATCCCTGTATTTTTACTGTTTTTGATCAAATAAATGCAGTTTTGGTGAGCACAAAGCCTCCTTCACACTGTCAGCGACATGCAGTGACAAAGTGACATGTTCCAATTTATTTCAGTGGAGAGCTGGCGATTTCCGGCCACATGGTGACAGGATGTGGGCATGTCCAGTGCAGCAGATTTTTAACTTTATGCAAGAGAGCTTTATGTAGACTTTATGTAGACTATGTATATCGACTTTTGGGAGCAGCAACCAATAGGAGTGAAGACTGTGTCTTTGTGCAGGCAAGGCAAGACACAGAATTTATGGCGTGATTTCACTTTTATTATTGTCTGTAAGTACGAATATAATAAAATGATGCTTGGAAAAGAAACCATTGACAGTTTCAGTGAGATTGATTCATACATTGATAGTTTTTGTTGATTGTATGATATATAATTAAGCACTGGTGCTGTTCATATTGAAACAGTTTTCTCTAAATAATGTTCATTTATTAGGTGCAAGAAAACTTATAATTTTTCAAATTCAGATGATGTTTTTTATTATTATTTTGTTTTATTTAAATTATTTTCTGTTGGTCTTTCTCTCCGTCTTTCAGTAAGTTCCGCCCAAAGTCGGAGCAGCACATCGATAACTTCTCGCTGTCCACCGTCGCAGAGGGCTCTCAGGCAAATGTAAGGAAACTGTGTGACACCCCGACTAACCTCCCCCATGCCCGTGCTTTGGCTTACTATGATAACATTATGTGTCAGGTAACTTTTCCTCTCCTCTCTTCCCTTCTGTTTTCCTGTGCATGAGTACTGAAGGTATAAAGTGCTCCCTCTCTCTTTCAGTTTAGGCGGTATGCTTATTGTCTTATTCCTTTCTTCATGTTGGAATTCTCTCTTTTCCACTCTTTTTTTATCATTAAGATGAGAAATAGAAACACCATCCTCTTCATCCCTCACTCTTTCCCTCAACGTCTGTCATTGACTCGCATGTGCCACCTAAGGTCATGTGAAGTACTACAGGCTGCATGAAGCATTGGAGAAACTGGATTATTTTATGTGTTTCCAAACATACTGATCATATTTGCAGTTGTGTAGAGCGGCTGGGCAGTCAATGCAATGATTTTCCAACGGTTTTAGTCCTAATTTTACAAGGTACAAAGAATATAATCAATATCTGCTGAGGTGTCAATTAATTAAGAGGGCATGATATAACGATGTACCAGAAGTGTGTCAGTAGAGTAATCCTCTCTCGCCACCCCACTCCTTAGAAAACCATGAGCAGATACACGTGGGAATATAAACCTAAAGAAGATCCCTGCAGCGAGGTAAGAGGACTCAATCTGACCTCCTCCCAGTGAGCTCTGATGCCCTGCTGATTCAAATAAAACGCTTTAATCCTGTAGCTTCATTATTACTCACCTTAAAAGTCCACTATCATGGTTGAAACACATCTTGAGCCTTTACTTCCTATGAAATGACATAGACAAGCAATAATAGATTTAGCGGTTTAAAATAGACGCTTCCTCACCATAGTTGCTATTGTGACTTTTTAGTGTGATTCATGCAATTGAACATCCTACTAGTGAACGTAGTAGTCAGCTGTTAATCTCCTCGCATCATTCAAAGCACTAACAACACAGCGACCTTGTAGAAATTTGTGTTGACTAACATATTCATAATTCTAAGGACACATGAAATATCGATACTATATCATTTATTGGTGGTATTATTTTTATTATTGAGTAATATATTATTTATTTGCATTGTCTGATATCAAATATCTAATTGTGGATTTCCTCTGTTACATGTAGATTCACTTTGCCATCATCTAAAACCCAGTTAATCTTAATAAAGTTCATCTTTAAAAACACAAATAATTTAATAATATGGATTGGTAAATATACTCTTTAAAAAGTCTCTTATCTATAATATCTCTCTTTTTATACTGTACATTTTGAGATGAATATTCAAAATGATCATACATATCATATGAGACACTGAGACTCATATATATATATATATATATATATATATATAAATTGAAATGATTAAATAAGTCCTGTGTGATGCCTGAATTCATGTGTAGTTTTTAAAATGATTTAAGTCTGTAGCAGGCTATTTTAAATTTTATTTAGAAGAAATAGCCTATTAAAGTGATTGGAATTAAAAGCTGGAAATATTTAACAGCTTATTGAAATTAAAGGTTACTATATTTTAAGGTTTAATTCTCGCTATTAACAAACCATTAACTATGACTTTTGCCTCAAACTCCTAATTTGCTGCTTATTAAGAGTTAGTAAGGTAGATGTTAAGTTTTGGGTAGGATTAGGGATGTAGAATATGATCATGCAGAATATATGCATTATAAGTACTAGTAAACAGCCAATATGTTAATAATAGGCATGCTAATAAGCAACTAGTTAATAGTGAGAATTGGTCCCTATACTTAAGTGTTACCAAATTAAACTTAATATTGAAGCATCCCTAATTAATCTCAATAGCAATTTACAAAAATAACTGCCTTTTGATATCATGACATCGACAGTATATGAACAGATGGATGACAAAAGAGATAAACATTTAAACTTTGTGTGAAAAAAAGATTGTTTCTCTGTGCTCCCATCTGGGGGTCATCTTTCAGAGTAGATTATCATGAATGATGAACCTATTCCTTCAGTTGTGCGTGTAACATTTGATCTTTAAAAGAGGACCAAACAGCGGTCTTTGCTATATTCACCTGTTACCTTGCAGTACCTGGTGAACCTTGAACTTGTCAGATCCTGTTCTCCTGCACTTTGATTTATGCCATTTGTTTATTCTGAGGTGAAACTCAAATCTAGTTTCTGATGATCTTTTGATTGTGTGGGGGTTGTATTGCCTTCACAAATGAAATTTCTTCCCCAGTGAGTTCATAGTGGAAGAGACTCTTTTATGATTAAAAGAGTCTGACAGCTTGACTGAGATGAGGCAAGAAATGAGGGATGATTGATGACAGAACATAGACGAAAGAGCTATGAAAATATCCCTAGGTGACTTTGTTTACTTGTAAGTTGTTTACTTGTCTTACTGCCTCCGGGGGAGAATTTATTTGACATTTTTCATCTTCTCTCTCTTGAGAATGGGTATTTACACATGTCTGATTTCAGCAGCATGAATAGTCTTCTTTTCTTTCCTCCCCATGGCATGTACAATCATTGCCTTTGTGGTTCCAAAAAAGGGATATCACAGGTAGCAAGTTGTACAAAAAAAAGCTTTGCTTTTAAGCAACTTGTTGTAATGACAAGCATTAGTTCACAGCAGTGAACATTCTGTTGAAAACAGCATTTTAACAAGCATTGCTTAATGCCTTCTGAATAAGCAAGGTTTACTGTTAGTCCCATATTATACAGTTTATGTAACCATTATGCTTATAGTGTGTTGATGTCTCTTGCGAAATAGTAAAAACTGCCGATATCCCTTGAAATTCCTGGTTGTGGATCAGTTTATGCTCTGAAGTTGACCTTTTACTCCCTCAGCTGTGAAGTGAAAACTGAATCCAGATCCATGCACTCACCTCCTGAACAGTTTTGTTTGTTATGGTGCCTTGTTTACATCTGGTATTATCCTTCTCTTTCTAGCTTGTACTTATTTGAACAATGTCTAAAAACCTGGTATTACAAGCACTTCCTGTATCTGTTTGCGTGTTTAAGAAGAATCGCTTTATGGATCCCCCAATTGTAAGTCGCTTTGGATAAAAGCGTCTGCTAAATGACTAAATGTAAGTGTAAATGTAAATGTATTAACATCCGGTGATCCAACAAGCAGCTTGAGGTGTAAACTGCATTCAGTGCATCTTGGAAATGCACTCAATCTTCATATATAACATCCCATTTCCACCAAAGTTATGACAGAAAAAATCAAATTGAAATACTAAGAATCTCATAATTGACTTTTGGCCTTTGATGATGTAATTACAAGAGAATTATGATGTTAATTATGACTCAAATGTGTCTTAAGCCAAAACTGACATACTATCTCATAATTTATTTTGAATGTCAATTTTGACTTTTGATCTCATCATTCACTTGGTATATCAGTCTTGACATTTGGCATAATTTTGAATCTTTCATAATTGACCAGGTTATAATTATAAAATCAAAAGTCAAAACTGACATATTAAATCAATCTTGAGATAGTATGTCAATTTTGACTTTTGATCTCATTATTGTCTTTGTCAATAATGAAAGTCAAAATTTTGCCAAATGTCAAGACATACTAAGTGAATTATGAGATACCAAGACTTTATTATGAGATCAAAAGTCAAAATTGACAGTCAAAACTGAGATGGTCAATTATGACTTATCTCATAATTGACTTGTTACAAAGTCATAATTACAAAATGTCATCTTCAAGTCATAAGTTGAAATTGAACCAGTTATCATAATTTTGAATTGTCATAATTGTCTTACTTTGACTTTTCATAATTGATTTTTGTTGAAATTGAACCACAGTTGTCATAATTTTAAATTCTCATAATTGTCTTATTTTGACTTTCCATAATAGATTTTTTTTTCAAATGGACTTGTAAACAGACAATTTAAGTCACAGACTGGCATAATGCATAATTGCACTAAAAATAGAGGCTCACCAAATATGACAATTTTATCATTTACTCTCCCTCATTCCGTTCCATTCAGTCATTAGGGGGCTGTCAAGCTCCAAAATGAACCACAGCTAACAGAAATAATCCATATGACTGTTATGCACTGATAGCTTTATGTGTGTGATTGCATTGGAAGTGGTCACTGGAGACACATTTGAGATGTTAATGCCAGGTGTAAAAGGGTGGAGTGGAACATTTAGTTATTTTTTCCCCTTTTTTCCATCTTGTGTGTATGTGTGTTGCTCCGCAGGATTGCACTTGCAAAGAAGATCCATGCAAATGTCCCCCTAAAGAGGATGAGTCTTTGAACAACCAGAACTTGCTCACGCCAAAACTGGAAAACGACACGGCCGCCACAGAAGACAATGCGGAGGAGGTAAATTCAATGCAGAACAACATGAACAACGTGTAGTAACACCCTTTTGCCACAAGCTGGCGCTATGACTGTAGCAAGACACACATTTGACACCTTGAAATTACTAAAATACCCTAATTAGTGGACTAAACATTGACATGGCACTCTTCCTTGCATTCACCTCAAGATGGCTCAGTGTGGGCTTCAAAACACACAAACGAAGCACTGAACTAGCATGCTAACTTATGTTTGTACTCTGTCATCACACGGTGGAGTTCCTACCGCCAGAGTACCTTACCAGCACATTGGCGTTGCCACATTCACCTTGTCCTTGCTTGCTGTGCCTGCTGATGTCACGCTGCTTCGTGTTATGTCAAGCTTTGTACTGTGTTCCGCTAAGTCACGCTACGCTATGAAATGCTTCACCCACAACCCAAAGGTTTAGCCGCCAGGTTTTCAACCTTTGACCTTCAGTCTTCACCGCTGTCACCTTCTGAACTCCTGTCTGTCCTGCCTTACTCAAGTCAGCATGCATTGGTTTTCTTTCGAATAAAAAAAAACAAAAAACAAAACGTCTGTGGGAAATAACGTAGCTATTTAGACTGTGTAAAAAAAAAAAAATTCTGAGATATGTAGATGTTTGTTGACTTATTCAGTGCGTATGTCTGAATATATATACAAATACTGCTTGGATTAATATTTATGTGCAGTATCATACAGTTTTAATGCTCATTGTGTCTTTAAACTAATTGATTTCTAATTATTTTGGTGTATTGACATTTTTTTTTTTTTACTTTTTTTTTTTTTTTTTTGAGAAAGCAAATGAAAATAAATAAAGCCAGTTTGTTTGGAATAAAACATTTTACCAGTACCAAATTGAGTGCCAGTGTATTCCTGAACTCCACCGTTCCTGTTTTGACTCCTTTACACTTTCACTGCTCCTCCTCACTCTTTTGCTTTGCATCTGTGCATGGCTTTAGCGTTCCTCAGGTACTGCTAACCATACTGGACATTTCACCTTCATATCACTGCTTAATTGTAAGACTGTCCTGACTTTACATATTTGGGTTTGTATAACAAAACGTGAATACTTTTCATGACATTTGCCATTTGCTGTCCAGTCTGGCTGTGAGTTGGCAAAGAAAGTTTGAAAAAATGGCTTAAATCTATATAACATAACAATGTAAAACATGTCACTGTTCATAAATTCCTCTCTTTAAAATTTATTTTATTTATATTTTTATAATTGATTATATTTTACAAAAAAAAAATCATTTTTAAAAAGAAAAAAAATTAATACTGTTCAAAACAAATTGGGGTCTCTAAGATTTATTTGAAAAAAATATACTTTTATTCAGCAAGGATGCATTAAATTGAAAAGACTTTTACACATTGTATTTCAGATACATACTGTTCTTTCGAACTTGCCATTCATAAAAGAGTGCTGAAAAAGTGTAATGGTTTCCACTATATACTGGATGCAAGTAAAAATGTTTCTTGAGCATCAAATCAGCATATTAGAATGATTTCTGAAAGATCTTGTGACACTTAAGAAAATTCAGCTTTAATATTTATTTTCAAAATGTATTAAAATGGAAAAGCAGTTATTTTAAATTGTACTAATATTTCACAATATTACTCTTTGTACTGTATTTTTGATCTAAGAAATGCAGCCTTGGTGAGCATAAGAGACTTGTCAAAAACAAAAATCTTACTGATCCCAAACCTTTGAATGTGAATATAGTAGAGCTGGAACTTAGCTTTGATGTGCTTAGTTGCTTATTGAGTCTGCCATCACTCATTGATAGTTTTACTCACAAATTAGCACAAGAATTCTGTCCATAAATTGCTAAAAAAAAAAAAAAAAAAAGATTACGGTAATACCAAAGTTTCCCACCTAAACATGACACCTGAAGTTTGAAAAGCTGCTTTCCTCTGAAAGTTTATCCAAAGAGCAGAAACTGGGCTTTTGAATCTAATCTGTTTAAGAATTTAATCACTGATACAACAATTAGACATTTAAATTGAATTTTGTGACTAATGCCAGATTGTTGCATAGCAATTATATGCAGACAGAAACTAGCGCGCACCCAGTCTAGTAAATTTGACAGTTGGAAATGAGCCTCAAAATAAGGTATTACAAAGGTTTTGAAAAGATTAAGCACCCCTCTACTTAATAGAGGGCGCAAGTGAAGTACAATCCTTTAATTCAGCTTGATAATACGAGATAATTTCCCACAAGCTGATTCACCGCTCATAGTTTGTGCCAGGTTGATGTCAACACTCAAATCACTCGATAATGCTCACAAAACAATGGCCTAATAGTTTCCTCTATTCACTTTGACTTCATTTTAATGCCGGGAGGGAGTTGTTATCAATTTATGCACTTTACTTGTTAAATTCTTTATGCTTTTTCTTTATGTATTGGTTTACCATGTGTTTGTCTGTGTAATTGTGTTATATGTGATTTTTTTTTTTGGATTCCTGTTTGTGTTGTTATGCTTGTGTACTTGTACCTGTGCCTTTGTATGTGTGTATGTGTCCAGGGCGGTGTGACCATCGACTTAGAGTTGCTTCTCCCCAAAGAGGCGAAAATGCTCCCTGAGACAAGCCCCCCACTGCACTACAACGTCTTTCTCTACAAGCTCCCCAAATCCCCTAAAAAGTCCCCTGTGCTGCGCCGGCCTCCTGGCAGATCTGTACAGGGGAGGCCTCTGTCCCAGCTCTGCCCCAGACGCAGCTCCGAACCCAGCTACAGCCCCATTAGCACGCGTTCCCTTCCGGGAGTGCTGTCCGGCTCATCCAGCCCTCACCTGGGCACGGCCTACACACCTTAACATGAGTGATGTACAACAAAACAAATGGCAAATTTATCCTACATGAGACTTCACCGTGAGAAATTTAAGAGACACTGATTGGTAATGAGTGAGAGTCTTGTGGATGAATAAGACATCAATTGGGAGGCAGGTTAAAAGCATTGGCCTTGACAGAAACAAAAGCACACAGCAGCACAATAAAGGTTAGTAGATGATAAATGGTGAGATGAAGTAGAATTGTTGTGCAACAGGAGTATAAAGGGAAAAGAAGTCAAGAAATTGTTAATTTGGTATTACAGATGCAAACATTGATGTCAGATGTGTTATGGTGCCAAGTTTTAGGTTTTATATTTTGTCAAACAGCACATTCATATTCATACACGTGCTTTCACAGAAATGATGGAACCTGTGAACATTCAGGGCAAACAAACAACTTGATAACTATTATTATTAACAAGGTGCTTTTTGTGTGTTTTTAATGTTAGATTAATACTTTCACTGAGAATAAAGAATTTTAGAATTGTTTAGATCTGACATTGTTTATTGTTGGTTCCTTGGACAAAAATGTGGTCATCATTTTTTGAAATGAAAATAAAAAAAATTAAGTTGAGGTTGCTAATTTCTAGGGAAGCCCTGAACCCAAATGTGGGAAGAAGAAAAAAGAAAATCAAGGTGGAAAAAATGGGAAATGTCACTTGGATCTTTCCTGAGCCTAGTCCGGAGAATGTTTTCTCTCTATATTTTTTCTCTCTACAGTTTTTCTCTCCTGAAAAACTTTTCTCTCACAAAAAGCTTTTTTCTCTTCCAAAGAACATCCCCATATATATATATATGTGTGTGTGTGTGTGTTTGTCTCATGATTTCTTGTAAATGTATTATTCAAGAATAAATCAACAGAGGAAGCAGTGTAAGCATAAGATTTCATGCTTAATTATTGCGGCATCTGTGGCATGCTTAATTGTTAGCTAGCCATCTTTTTTGATGGCAAAATTCTATGCAGAGAGAAAAAAAGTATTTGGGAGAGAAAAAAATTGGAGTGAGAAAAGGTTTTGGGGTGAGAAATAATTTTTGGAGAGAGAAAAAAAATTCTGGGAACAACTTCTTGTAAAAAAAAAAAAACAGTACAACAATACATTTGTCAAAAAGTGCAGCGTTGTCTTGCACGTGCAGTGTGCATGTGACGACTGATTGATAATCTAAACTAATACCATGTTCTGTAAGCAAGTCCTCTACAAAACACTTCAATGCT